CCCCAAAACCCCAAAACCCCAAAACCCCTAATATTTTTAAATATATTGAAACTTTAAGAGATTTTGAATTTAGGAAATCTTGTATGTACAGGTAATTCGGAGATGGTCCAGAGAATATTTTGAAATAGTTTTTCTTTCAAATGATTTGGAAATTCTGGGATTTAGGATGAAAATGGATTTAAGGAGTGCCGCTGGTCTTTTGGGTAGAGAGAGATTTCATTAAAATGTCAAAGTTAGCTTGTATGGTCTGTGGATTTGCCAAATAGTTTGTAGAAGATAAGCAGATTGTCAGGGATAGGATTGATGATTTTTCGAGAGAATTAGAGAGAATAAGGCCCTGTTCAAGTATTAGTCTTCATTTCTTGATAGCCAGCATCTTAATTTTATTTGAAGATCATAAAATTCTTTTAAAATATTTTGATGAAATTTCGAACCCTTCCAAGATCAGTATATTGTTCATTTTTTCTGAGATTTTTCCTATTCCCCTGGAGAAGTAGCAGAAGGGCAATTTAGGACTATGATTATAAAGCCCGGGTTATAACTAATTTCCACTTTCTCAACTTTTTGAGGGAAATAATTAAGGAACAGATTCTTCCAAACCTTCAGGTTAGTTTTTTCTAATTTTAATATTAATTCTCTGCATCTTGGAATTTTCAGTTTTATAGCTGCCTGACAAACTTAGCTTTTGTGTAATATGATGTGGATAGGTAGAGTGAAGGTGTTGAAGATAAATCTAGAGGGCCTTCGTTAAGATTCTCATATCTTTTGTTTAGTCAACTGAGATTTATAACATTTATCTCTGAGGAAAGAATGCTCTCTGATGATTTAAGATAAGGTGTTTTCATCTTCTTAATCAGTTTAGTTAAACCATTTAGCTTTCATCAGAGATTATTGATTAGATCATGGTCAGAAATGGTCAGTATAGGTCCATTTAAGTCTCATTTCTGTGTGATTCATTCATTACAAAATCTATCAAAGCCAGTGTCTTGTCTAAGCCCATCAGCAATGACTCTTTAACGCCTTTAGTTTGTATGATCTTTAAAATCTGTGATTTTATGTTCAAGATATGGTCTTTGCAAGATTGCAAGGTCTCCATGCTGATTAGTTTATTTTTAAAATTCTACCTGTAGATTTCTAAATGGGGTTTTGGGGTTTTGGGGTTTTGGGGTTTTGGGG